GTAGTAGTAAATCTAATACCAATAACAATACTAATAATAATGAATTTATTATTGAAAATACTAAAATAGATTTTACAGAGTTTGAATTTAAACTATCAGTAAATAAAAATGAAGATAAAAAAATTTTAGAAATAATACGTAATGGTAAATTATTAGGACTTTCATTTTTATCTTTTTTAATTAAAAATAATAAAGGTGTGTTAGTATTAGATAGTGTTAGTAATTTAGAACAAAAGATTGAGATATTGTTGTCTGTTGGGAGATTAGAGGAGTGTTTAGATATTATTAGAGAGATGGGTGGTAAGGATAAACAAGAGGGTGATAATAATCTATATAATAAACAACAGGGTATTAATAACAGTACTGATAAACAACAGGGTGATAATAACAGTACAAATAAACAACAGGGTGTTAATAACAGTACAAATAAACAACACCCCATTAACCATACACCTACTAATTATCACCCTCTTAATAACAGTACTACTTATATTACCTTGTTAAGACGTGTCTTAAAAGAAGCTTTTAAAAGGTGTAATTTTACTGTCTGTGAAAAATGCCTTTTACTTTTAAATGATACTCATGGATTATTTATGTTATATATTTGTAATAAAAAAATTAATTTAATTAATAAAATTAAAAATAAAAATTTAGAGATATTAGTATTTCTAGGAAATAAAAGGGAGATAGAGAGGTATATAGGTAGTGAGAATAGTGAGGGGGAGGATATAGGGGAGGGTAGTAATATTGTGGAAGGTAGTAGTATAAGGGAGAATAATATAGTAGATAATAATATAGTAGATAATAGTATAGATAAAACAGAAGATACTAATGTAGGAGATAACAGTATAGAAGATACCAATACAGATAATAGTATAGTAGATACTAGTATAGAAGATAATAGTATAGATAAAACAGAAGATACTAATATAGTAGATAATACAATAGATAATACAAAAGATACTGGTAATGTAAATATTAATTCTGATTGTATCTGTGTTGATAGAATTGATAAGAGTTTATTAAAAAATATAAATTTTAAAGAGGAATGGGAAATAGCAATGAATAATACAACAGAAGGTAAGTTTAATGTAGCACTACAAGGGTTAAGAGTAATGGTACATAACCTAGCACATAGAATGGTGAGTGAAGATAACATATATGATAGTAATAAGTATAATAAAGATATTAAAGGTGGTAACGATATTAAGGATTCTAATGATGTTTATATTGAAAATGATATCACAAATATAAATAATAATTGTAATACCCCCCTCTTACGGCTTAGACTTGGTGCTTATATTTCTGGGTTGGGTGTGGAGAAGAAGAAGAAAAAATGTTTGGAGGTGGAAAGGTGTATGGAAATGTCTTGTTATTTTAGTAGGTTAGATTTATTAGAAGTACATAAGGTGTTAGCTTTAAGTAATTATATGATGGTTTGTTTTAAGAATGAAAATTTTACGATGGCAAAGGAAGTGGCAAGGGAGTTAAAGGGTATAATAGATGGTGAGGGTGTTAGTGATAAGGATAGAGTAGGGGGTGTTAATAATGATACTAGTAAATTAGAGGGTGTTAATAACAGTATTAATAAACAACAGGGTGTTAATAATCATACTAATGAACAACACCCTGTTAACACCATTCTGAATAAACAACAGGGTGCTAATATGAGTAGGTTGGAGAAGAGTGTTAAGAGGGTGTTAATGTCTGAGAAGAGTGGTGATAAATATTTTATAGGAAAAGGAGTGTTTTGTTATGATTTGTGTTGTTATAAGGAAGAAGGGGTGTGTTGTAGGTTTTGTGGTGTTTATAGTTATAATGAAGGGGTGTGTGAGTGTTGTGAGGTGGGTGTTGTTAAGAGGTAGTGAAGGGGGGTGTTAGTTTATCGTAGTATGTTAGAGGGTGTTAGTGATAAGGAGTATGTTAGAGGGTGTTAGTGATAAGGAGTATGTTAGAGGGTTTTAGTACAGTGATAGTAGTATAAAAGGTGTTAGTGTGGTGATTAGTAAGTATGTTTAATAAAGGGGGTGTTATAATAAAAGAGTGTTATTAGTAGTTATTTTTAAAAGAATATATTAGGCTTTAAAGGGGTGTTATTTGTCTTATATATTTCATTGTTGGTTAAAGGGGTGTTATTTATCTTAAATGTTTTACTAATAGTTAAAGGGGGTTTGTTTAAAAGTAAAATATTACTGTTGGCTAAAGGGTTTTATTTATCTTTAATATCATAATACTTAAAGGGGTTTTATTTATAGGCAAGATTTTATTATAGTTAAAGGGTTTTATTTATCTTAAATTTCATAACCGTTAAAGGGGTTTTATTTATCTTAAATATTTTACTATTTTTTAAAGAGTGTTATAGCAGACCCTCTATCCCACTATACATTACCTCTTATTCCTCTTATTTATTATACTTTCCTTATAACCTATTATCATACCCTCTATTCCACTATACATTACCTCTTATTCCTCTTATTTATTATACTTTCCTTATAACCTATTATCATACCCTCTATCCCACTATACATTACCTCTTATTCCTCTTATTTATTATACTTTCCTTATAACCTATTATCATACCCTCTATCCCACTATACATTACCTCTTATTCCTCTTATTTATTATACTTTCTATCTCTTTCTTTATAAAACCTGTTATTTCTTCTTTACTTTTATTTTCTATAAATTGTTTATCTTTACACTCAAAATGAGAAGGACCACTTAATGGTGAAGATACCCATAATTGTTGAAGTGGTGGTTGTTTATTAAACACATAATCACCTATACCAGCTACTTTATAAGTAATAACACTGTTAGTATAATCTAATGTACTGTCTATATTTTGATTATCTAAATAATCATAAATATTTGAAAGTGTTTTGTTTGCTAGTTGTGTGTATAAAGTGTGTGGTAGTGTGTTTGGTATCATTTAAGTAAAGGGGTGTAAATATAACAATTGAGATAAAATATAAATGTGTAATGATGACAGTATTGAAAATATTTAGTTATAAAGGTATAAGGATAAATGTAAATGTGTAAATATAACTGTGAATAAAAAGGTATTCTTGTAAAAGTATATTGTAAAAGATATAATCATAAAAGTATATTGTAAAGGATATAAGGATAAAATTACTAATATAATAATGATAACTATTGAGTGATAAAATTACTGATATAATAATGATAACTATTGAGTGATAAAGGTACTGATATAATAATGATAACTATTGAGTGATAAAGGTACTGATATAACTATTGAGTGATAATAAGATGATAATTTTTATTGTATTTACTGATCATTTATTCTTGTTTTTTTGTTGATATGATAATGAAATATTTTTTATTTAAAAATATCTTTTTTTTTAATTAAAGTTTTATATTATTTTCATGAGATTAACTTAGTTCTTTGTTTAAGATACCTAAATGGTATTTAGTATACTATATTGATATTATTATATTACTTATATATTATTAGGTTATTCGTCTAAAAAGTATTTAGAAAATATTTAAAGAATGATTAGTTTCTTAGGTTGGGTAAATTGTTTGTAAAGAGAGTGGTTTTAATGTAGAATATACCTTTGGATTTACGGACTTTTACTATACCTAATTACTCTAGACTTTAAGAAACTAATAAAGCCTCTGACAAAAATATATATCTGTGACATACTTTGGTAAACCTGGAGTTTGCAATGTAATAAAATAAGTTTAACCAGCTATTAAGCTTTCTATATTTTTTAAAAAATACGTTTTTTTTATCTATCAAACACTAAATTTTCTAATGCGAGTGAGCAAATATAATTAAATATACTTTTACATGGTAATTATCTATGAGTTAGATACTAGTTTCTAGTTTAGCCCATAAAAAATGCAAACTTTCTTTTTAAGAAAAGTTAACCATTATGTAGGTTTTTATATTTTTTCACGAACTCATATTAAAAATCGAAAATGTGATGTTCTTTTCATTCCTGTAAAAATTTAAAAAATAATTTTTACTAATTTTATTTAACTAATGACAAGCAGATATTATATTAGTGGGTTTTTTTACCTGTATCATTGTTGTATAAATAGTCATATATAATAATTTACGATTTACTTTGTAAAAGAAACAATTGAATACAAGATAAAGTGTTTGTGTAAATTTTTTTATTTGTTTTGGGAATTATAAATGTATAAATATCTATTATAGATACGGTGTTTTGGTTATTGCTTGATAAAAGTATTTTATATACTACATTAGAGTTAATTATTTTTTTTATTAAAAATAAAATATAGGTTTCTCTTTCTTATCGTTGTTCAATGTTTAGATTACGAGTTTTTTTATTAGCGTTTGTTTCAATAATATAAGAATTAAAGCTTTTTTACCTTTAATTTATATATTTAGTTGGAATATGATTTTTCTTCTGTATTTAAAACAATATATTACAAAATTATATGTTTTTTAATTAATATCAAGATTTAGTCTCAAGTATAACCTTTTTTTTATCGATATTAAATAAATAAATCATTATAATGGTTTTTATTATATATATGCCTCTACATTCATGGATATTTGAAATCTTTTAAGATAACTCGGATATTATTTTGTTACAATACCATTAAAGGTTGTAAAATAAGGGATTATTTCAACACTACACTTATAAATAAGGTTTAACTCTATGGTTGACATACTATTACTTCTATAATTTCTATCTCAAAGATTTGAAAAAATAATCTCTATATAATAATTTTTACTATAATAAGGGTGAGGTTGTTTAATTTTATTTCAATAAAAAAAATGATGTTTTTTTTTGAAAGGTTGATATCAGTTTTTATTCAGAATCTATCTTTATTTAAATTTCTATTTCATTAATTTTTAAGAAATCAGTTTTGCTGAAAAAAGTAAGAATTTACTTAAAATTCAAGTGTACATAGATATTTAGAATACGCTATTTATATTTTTATTCTTTTTTTTTATGAAATACAAAATTTATATTAAATAATCTCAAAAATTAAAAAATAAATGGCTTATTAGTTCAATGGTAGAATGCGGCTCTCGTAAAGCTGAGATGGCGGTTCAATTCCGCCATAAGCCTTTTTTTATATTATATTATAGTAGTACGTTTGATATTGATTATTATTAATAAATTTTACAAAGAAATGAATCTTTACTGTCTTACTAAAAATAAACAGAAAGAAAAATTATTCTATCAAAGAATTTAAATATATAATGGAATATGTTACAGATACAATCATATTAAGAAGAATAATAATGGTCTATTTACTATTCAAATATATAATGGAATATTTTACAGATATAATTATATTCAAAAATAAGATTTGTTTTTACTGATAATATGAAGATCTACAGGGAGCCCCTTTCAAGATGTATGATGTAATACAAGCACCGTTGGAATTAAAATTAGAGAAATTATCATTTAAAATAAAACCAAATGTAATTTTTACAGTCGATTCTGTAGATTATGTATGTGAACTAAAAGAAAATATAAAATTGGGTGTATGTAGTGATATGGGAGATACTACGGGGGAAATAATTAAAAATAGAAATTATTATGTTATTAAAAGGGTTTGAATGAGTATATTTTAATTTTTTTAGATGTTTTTATACGAAGAAATAAAGAAATTATAAACTAATGGTTTTTTGCCGATATGATGGTTATTTATTAAAGTGTTTCAATAGAAGGAGAGTGTTCTGGATTTCTGATGGAAATATTGATTAAATAAAGTTGTTTTGTCTATATCTTCTAATTATTTATTTGATTTAAAATAGCAACTATATTTACTATTATATTAGTTGTATTAAAAACAGGGATTATGGGTTGTCTTATATTACTAATTTAACGTTTTTCATCCGCAGTGGTCCAGTGGTTAGGATTGCGGCCTCTCACGCCGCCGGCCCGAGTTCAATTCTCGGCTGCGGAAATTTTATTAAAGTTTTTGTTTGAGTAAGTTTTTTGATTATCTAATTTTGACTGAAGAGATATATTCATCGGAATATTTCGTCCTATTTTTTAATGTAAATTTATAAGTATATAAATTTGATAAGCTAGATCTAAAGATATTGAAATCAGTAAATTATAAATAACCAGTATTCTTATTTTAATTTGAGTAATAATCGAAATCAGACTGGTTTTTCGAATAATGATGATCATAGATCCAATAAAAGAAGAATAATATGCTTAAAGATCGGAGAAGTGCGAAATATATGGTTTTAACAATGAAAACTATATTTCTATTCTATTCGAGTTCAAATAAATAATTTAAATAAAAAAAAGGTTTAAGCATTTCTATAAAGAATAAAGAAAAATCTTAGACAAAAAAAATATAAACATTACAACATGATGCAAAGTAAATAATCAAAGAAAATGTTTGTAGATACGGTTAGATAATAAATTTCTCTAAGATTTGCTTATTAAAATAAAATAATTGACATATTAGATAAATTAAAACAATTTAACTTATTGTTATAGAAAAAATTTAATGTTTCATAAAAATACTCTAAGGTTTTTCAAAATGTTTTGTATATTTCCATTTTAAAATTTTAGTGAAGTTTTTATATACTCTTAAATCAATAATTAGTCCTAAAAACAAATGGTTGAAAGTTTCATTGCTTATTAAATTTCTGTGGGAATTTATAAATGAAATGAACTCAAGGAATATGTCATTATCTTTAGAAATTTCTTCTTGTATTCTTTTTATGAGAAAATCCGATATTATTTTTAAACGGGTATCTAAATCAATTCCCTCGCATTTATATACTTGGCAAATAAATTCTAAGCAAATTTTAACGAAGGTGATCATATTATTTGCTCGTGTGTCTGTAATAAAAGATATATTCCCAATTGGTAGAAGTATTTTTGCTATCGCATCTCGTTGAGGGAATTCAAAGCTACGTATTATGTTATCAATAATGAGCTTGATTCCAATATCAATATTTTGGAAAAATTGTTCGATTTTAAATCTATTTGCTATAATTACATCGTTTATAAGATGATTTAGATATGTGTTTGTTTGATTTGTCAGGATATAGTATGTGTTTTTATAATTGTCTTTTTTATTTTGTTCCTCATTTTCCTTTTTCTTATTTTGTATGAACTGTAAAGTTTCAGTAATTCCTGGAAAACAAAAACCGAGGTATGTGATTATAGAATCAATTCTTTTCGAAAATTGCTCAACATTGTCTTTTCTGCATGTTAATGAAACCCTATCAACAAATTCTTCATCTGTGATTGAAAAATCAGTTGAGAATTCCGAAATTAACAAAAATAATATAAAATTTCGCCATTCCCTTAAGTCAAAATCAATTTTTGATTCGACCGGCGTTTCACTTCGTGGCAAATCTTTTTGTTCTATTTTAGATATTCTAAATTCCACAGATAAGAAGTGTTTTTTTCGAAATAGCACATTGCAAACTTGATCGTCTTGTATTCTAATGTTTTTAAGAGTACTATAGAATTTATATAAAAATCCAATTTCAATATTTCGTCTCATCAAATAAAATCCTATTTTGGCAAATATATTCGGTTTATATTTCTCATAGAGGTTAGTAACCTTTTTAAATGAAAAAATGTCGGGAAATCCAAATATAACGATATTTTCAATCATTTTTACAACATCAAAATCAATGTTCATTGTAAATGCAATCATCTCCCCCAAAATATCTGATTGTAATTTTTCAGCATTACGAATGAACGAATATGGTCCAATAAAATCAGGATATAAATCTAATGATATTTCGTCAGTTAAATCAATTATTTTTATTAGCTCTACATTTCTTGTTTCTGATTTAAAAGCAACATATTTTTTAAAAAATATGTCATTGGTACGCTTGGCGCTTAAATAACACACTAACATGAGCCCACATACAAATAAAACTGTAACTGTCGTGATAAATAAATTTATTTTGTGCTTTCTCGAAATTTTCATTTATAAAATGGTTTAAAAAATTAAAATATATGTAAAAAAATGAATTTAACAAACTCATCATAAATACATATAAGGATAATTAATGTATTGAATACTAAATAAGGAAATTAAAATATTTTTTTTCCACTACTTATATAATATCGTAAGCCATACATCCTCTTGCATTTCACTTGTAACAACCCCTTATGAGTGTTTTAAAAATTTTAGAATGGTCTAAAACTATCATGAAATGAACTGGATAAGGCAACAATCAAAGTATTAAACATTAAATAAAACCGTTTATATTTTTTATCTTTGATTTTCAGTTCCTGTCTTGCCATAATATTATTTCCTATATTAATAAATTTTACGCCATGACATAAAACCCCCATTACGCTATGCCAAAAGATCTTTTTATACGTAAGACAAAAAAATCTTTTTAAAATTACTAACGTCTTAATGATAAAAATGTTTTATATTCAAAAAAAATGTGAGTATTTGAACTAAAAATAAATTCTCATTTTAAATGTTTTCATTATTTTTTAATTCATTTAAATCTATCCTGTAATACTAAAAGTATTAGAAGTGAAATCGCTTTTTAAAATAGTGGAAATGTTTGAGTATATCTTCTGAAAAATTTCCAAATAATATAACAAAGAACGGGAAAAGATTTTAGAAAAAAAAGTTGGTTTTTTTGCCATTGTTAACGATCTCTTTGTTATAAAAATTTAGACGGAACCTTCAAGGGAGGTGTCTTTGAATTTTGAACCCAGGCAATTCAAATAATTTTCAATGAAAAAAATTTTTCGCGTCATTCTGAATAAATCAAATAGTTTATCTTGTAAATAAAAATATTATAGTATTTCATCATGAATTAAAAAGATTTTGTGAGAAAATATGAACCTTGTTCAAAATATAATAGTCTCCGTACCATTCAAGATATTTAACTAAATGAAATAACCGCAAAAATGATAGATCTATAATAAATTGCGTCGATTCGTGGGGCTATTCAGAATTCAACAATAGTTATTTTTGGATCATAAACACCATAGACACTACACTAAGATTATATGGTCGTCAAAATTACTCAATAAGAGTGTTCAGCTAATAAAAGACTCTTTGGAAAATATTTTCGAAATTTGGCGAGGCTATATCCCTACAGGCAGATAATGGAAATAATTTGAACCTACTTGTAAATGAATACCACGGGAGTCTAAATAAATGAACAATCCACTGATGAGCCGAAAATCTTAGAGATAAAGCTAAAATAGAAAGGGCAAATAAAACGATCCAAAGAAGGTTATCTAAAACGCTTTTAAACAATGTGAAGTAAAAATTGATCGATTTTTTACCGTGTTTATTCATAAGTATAACATTACTATCAATAAAGCGACAAATAATTTTCAGTTTAAGCTATTTCATGGCTAACGTAGCTATAGTACTCTAATGCAAAATCGTAAAATCTTCGAAAATGAGCTCAGAAAATGAGGAAGTGGGTCAGAAAATGAATATAATGGTTGATATCAGATGAGAATTTAAACTTATATTAATCATGATTTACTTGGTCGTGTGATGAATGATTTTTTCTCATATCAAGTGGCAATGATTGCAAACAGACACCCAAATAAATTGAAAGAATTTTAAATATAGAGATTATGTTCTATCAAAAAGAGATTTCGATAATAACACATCTAACCGACAAACCCCAGCTTGATAGTTATTTAATGGAAGAAAAATATATTGTAGTAGATATTCTAATTAAAAATATGATATAAATTTAAAATGAAAAATCTCGCGATAGTCAAAGCGTTTATGGAAACATATTGAAGGAGATTAATTTAATAAGAAAGCATTACGTTTATTATTCTGTTACTTTGTTTTCTTTACTGTAATTACCTGTTAAAATCCATAAATTTAAGTAATTTTTTTTTCAAATATAATGTAAAACCAAATAGCTTAAAAACGTTGTTTATTCTTTCTTAATATTTATTTTTGTAAATTGATTCGGCGTAATAGGCCCGATATATTATTTTAGGCAAGAGAAAAAACAAGATAAATCTCATTGAAGCAGGAATTCCTTCCCAAGGCTCACTTCAAACAGTTAAAACGCAGAAATTTAGGAAATATGATTTATTAACAAATAAGATTGGTCTTAGTTATAAGTTTGGTGTTGAGATAATCCTTTCTGTAGCCTCCTGAAACGATATTGTGAGAAAATATCATAAGATGTATCTTAAAAGATTACATATACCCATGAATATAGAGGCATATATACAATCTATAGTCTCAAGAGGACAGTCGAAACAATTTTCCTTGATCTAAGAAGAGGATTTGAGTCAGGACCAATCCGGAAAGAGCTGGGAGAGAGCGTCATTATGTGTTATTTTAGGAGCAGAGATGCATAAACAACTAACACCCCTTTAAGCAACAAGAAGAAGAGGAAGATGGTGGTAAAAAAGAAAATACAAAAAATATTATGCCCCATATTTTGGATGACATAACCACAGTGAAGGAACCGACAATATATATAAACAAAGAATCAGATTTAGAAGAAGATAATCAAGTGGTTGAAAAAGAGCAAGAGATTATCTAAAAGAGAGAAAATTTGTTCACCCAGATTTTAATTAAATAATACATTTTTGCCACATAGGGGTTGTTTTTTTATTTTTTTAAATTTTTTATTATTATATGAAGTGGATAGTGGAATTAGGATAACCACAATAAAAGCTTTCTACTTGGAAATGAGCTTGAAAATCGGTGTAAAGATCGGTATTTGTTTTTTATGGGTATAAAATCACACTAAATTCTCGGTTGTCCATGGGTTTGTATGAGGAGAAGAGGTCTTCTAGAATGGCGAAACTTTTTTTACAAATATATTTTATTAGGTTTTTATGTAACCGGTTGGAGACTGCAGCAGAAATTGTAGGCAATCGCCATGTAAAAACATAGAAACCTAGCCTTGCACACTCGAATTAGAAGACTTAGCACCTGGAAGATATAAAAAATATAACAATTTT